GATTTTGTAGTACTAATTTGATTGACTGTAGATCATCTGTAGATCAATTTTGCAGATCTAATTTCAAGGGTAACAGTATCTACAGATAATTTTAAAAGTACTGATTTTAATATTTTGAGGACTGATCAATCTTTATGTAATGTTATGTTGAGATATTCCATTATAATTGTTTCAAACATCTGAAAACAAATGCAAATAATTAGCTGTCTATTCATTTGAAAACGAACTGAAAGAATTGATTGATCTTATTAAAAATAATTTCTGTCATTTGCAAAAATGAGAAAATGTAGACGATCATTCGTGAGCACGTCTAAAACAGAGACTGTAACACATTATATATATCTAATTATGGTAAGTAAGTCACATGACCCTGAGCACAAACGGATTAGAGCTTATGGATTCGTGCATTTGCATAATAATGCATTAATGCACTATAATTTTGCATAATACATGTATCGCACTTTCGCAATTTTTAACACTTTTTGCATTTTTCACGTGATCTAAATCGAATTTACCATTTAAGGAAAATTAACGTAAATCTGATCATCGCTATCTTTTTTTTTTTTTAACAAAATGGAAGAGATTATTGAAAGTTTCTAATTATCAAACTCATTTTCGTTTAGAAAATCAAAAATTATATTGTAAATTTTGCAAACATGTAGTTAAACATGATCGAAAATCTGTTTTAAAAGCTCATATAAACTCACCAACCCATTTAAAAAGAAAAAAGAAATAGAAAGTGGTGCTGAAGCTTTACAAACAACTATACCAAGTATTTATCAAATTAGATCAGAAAAACAAGAAATAAAATTGCATCTTTGTCAAAGGATTTACCAAAGCTGATATTCCACTTGAAAAGATTGATAAACTCAAACCATTTTTTATAAAATATTGTAATAATAGTGAGATTATTTATATATATTTGTTTATTTATTTGTCTTCTTCCGAATTTATCAAAAGTAGCGTTAATTTATATATGGTTACCTATTTCGGGAGTTGATGTTAAACGTAGTTTTTCCAATTATAAAAGAATTTTAGATGATAAGCGCAGATCACTTTCAGAGATAGAAATGTTGAATTTTTTATATTATAATAATCAATAAAAATTGAAATTTTATATTTTTTACTATATAAAAAATTTTTGCATATTTTGCATTTTTAGTAATTTTAAAATGCATAATTTTTAATTTTGCATCGCACGAACCCGTGGGCTCTAAAACGGATAAAACGGGTAAACAGAGTTTTTTATTATTCAATTTTATTCACAGTCACGCGTATCCCTACTGTCGTTAGGCCACACCTTCCTACGTTCAGATGCTTGGAGGCAGTCTGCCGGGCTTTCCTTAAGCATACGTGTTTAAGGCCCAGTCCCTGCATGCTGTTTTTTCCAGTATACAGTTGACTGTGACATAAAGTCATTTTTATATTCATGTGCAAATTGGGCGTAAAATTTTATTACGAGTTTTTTTTTAAATCAGGAAAATAATAGAGGTCGTAAGAGAAATATATGATGCTATCTAAGTTTCCACCCATAAATATCAGACCTCCTTACTCTCGTTTCTAGGTTTTTATTTTTTACTTCATATATAAAGAACCTTTGCGTTTTTTTCTTCACGTAAAAAATATTTTTAGAATGAGTAAAATATTTATTAAAGAATGTAAAAAATGTAATAATGTAAATGTAACGGTGGTGTAAGAATGTAATGGTAGTATAAACATAATATTTGTAATGTAATATAATAGTTAAAATAGTTATAAGAAATATATTAGAATAGTCATAAGAATGTAATGTATAGTTGTGGAAATGACCCTTCCATGGGGCTGTAATAGTCGGAAGTGATCGTTTCCATAATATGGTTTTTTTGAGAAGGTCTACTGATTCTGGAGGAGGAATCGGTTAAGTATCTCCCTTCATAACATTCCAAGAAACTAATGCACCCGCATAATCTTACTCAATATGATCTAATTTATTATAAAGTGGATTATTATTGATCATCTTGCCTGTTTTCTTTTTTATAGATATTCCGGTTTACAACTATTTACCGTTGCAATAAGCCCGATCGCGCCGTTATGTTTAGGTGTAACAAAGAAGGTTTATCTTTCAACGAAATAGATACGTGGTTACGGGAAATAACGAAATTAGATTTTGTCCACGTAGCTAAAAGAAGAAACAATCGGTATTTGAAACAATTTAACCAATTTTCTTATTTTTTACTATCTCCTCGTTAATCTAAACATGCTTTGCCTTTAGGCAGTGTTGTACACGGACGTTGTCCCGGTGATTTTTGGCGGACACGGGACGTCCGAAAGTCCATGTCCGGGACTATGTCCGCAGGACAGTTGGGACATGGACCGATATTAGATATCCTTTGGCCAGAATTAACAAGAGATATATGGCCAGCATTAATGCGGACAAAAAGTCCCGGACATAAAAAATTCTCGGACATGGACACTGACAGTCCGGTCCAGTCTGGTCCATGTCCGTGTCCGCGTCCCATGACAACACTGCCTTTAGGGTTGGATATATACACTTCGATAATCAACTAGAGACTAAAACATTTTATGATGAAATGAAAGGTCGTGTTTTTGAAGGACCCAAAGGAGTCAATATAAAGTTTATAGAAGATGATACCTCAAATGATGAAAACGAAAACCCCGGAAATCAGAAAGTACCATATCGGATCTATGAAAAGGAGTGGGTATCTCTAGTTAGGATATATTTTTATATATGACTAAATTTTTTACTTTTTATTTAGTAATATATTTGAGATATTTTTGTTAACTCCTAGAATAACCAACAAAAGTGATTACAAGATACAAGGACTTAACGAACTTCTCATCATAGATGGTATTTTTCCGGAAAAAACAACTAGAAAGGATTGCGTTGAAGATCTTTTTTCAACAAAATTTTTCATCTATGTTTGAAACTAATTAACCCTGCAATCAAAAATTCAGAATCGACCATAACGCAACCGCAAATATAATTATCCACAATGGTCTTACCAAGATCGAAGTCAAGAAGTTGGGAAACCAATTAAGATCTTTAAGATTTTAATAGTATTTTTTTTAGTGAAGGAAATAGTTTCATTTTTATGAAGTTTTATTTTGTATTCTTAATTTCTATAACTAGCATGTAGGATTAAATTAGATGTTGTGAGCAGTGTTAATAAAATCTTCGAAATTCATGATGCATTCACGATCAAATTTAAGATTTAAATTGATTTTGATAAATTTAAATCTTAATTTTATATTTTTTTTATAATTGACCAATAAAATTGAAATAAAAACTAGGCGATCATAATAATAAATATAAAAATTCGCAGAAGAAAAAATCGACAAGTTCATTTTCGGAATTGAATCACGAAACCTAATGAGAATTTCAGAAGTAAAAAGTACAACGCGTGAGCAGCGCATTGCTCCTCATACACATATTAAGGGACTTGGTTTAAATGACGAAGGAAGGGCATATCAGCAAGCTGACGGGTTCGTTGGGCAAAATTCAGCAAGAGAGGTTAATAGTTTTGCTTAAATTAGTTTCAATTACCACGTCTTTAGACTTAATTATTAATGATTAATTATAGGCATGTGGTATTGTTGTGGACTTGGTAAAAAGTAAAAAAATGGCTGGTCGCGCTTTACTTTTAGCTGGCGCACCAGGTACTGGTAAAACCGCGATAGCCCTCGCCATAGCTCAAGAACTTGGTCCTAAAGTACCATTTTGTCCAATGGTTGGTAGTGAAGTATATTCTTCAGAAGTTAAGAAAACTGAAGTTTTAATGGAAAATTTTCGAAGGGCTATAGGTAATTTTAATATTCGAATATCAGAACATCTTGAATCAATTTTGATTTATTTTATTATATCAGGATTAAGAATTAAAGAAACCAAAGAAGTTTATGAAGGTGAAGTGTTAGAACTTACACCCGAAGAAACAGAAAATCCATTGGGTGGTTACGGTAAAACTTTGTCACACGTAACCATTGGATTAAAAACAGTTAAAGGAGTAAAAACATTGAAATTAGATCCAAGTATTTATGAAAGTATTCAAAAAGAAAAGGTTACCGTTGGAGATGTGATTTACATTGAAGCTAATACTGGTGCTGTAAAGGTATGAATCTCTTATTTTTAAATTTTTTTTTTATAATGATGAGGTTTATTCCCTTTGTTTTTTTGAATAAGAAATGAGTGTATAAAGTCGTTTCCACTATTAGCGTGTTGGCAGATCCGACGCTTATGCTACTGAATTTGATTTAGAAGCTGATGAATACGTTCCGCTTCCAAAAGGAGAAGTTCATAAAAAGAAAGAAATTGTTCAAGATGTTACATTGAATGACTTGGATATCGCAAATGCTCGGCCTCAGGTACATTTTAACGATCCTTTATATTTTAAATCAAATTGATGTTTTGAATGTATGTGTAAAATTTTTTTTAGGGTGGACAAGATATTATGTCAATGATGGGCCAATTATTGAAACCAAAAAAGACGGAAATCACAGATAAGTTGAGAAAAGAGATCAATAAGGTGGTCAATAAATATATAGATCAGGGAATTGCTGAGCTAGTTCCAGGTGTTCTGTTCATAGACGAGGTTGATATTTATAATGATGTTGGTAGTATCCGTTATTGAATCAATAATAGTTCTTATTCAATTAATACTTTAAGTCGTTTTTGTAGGTACATTTGTTAGACATTGAATGTTTTACATATCTAAATAAGGCGTTGGAATCCGCCATATCGCCTATAGTAATTTTCGCTACAAACCGTGGAATGTGTCAAGTCAGGTAACAGATTGATATACTATTTTATTTTATTTTTTTTTAAAAAAAAAACTTATTCTCATATTTTATAGAGGAACAGATGATATTATTGCACCACATGGCATTCCAGTTGATTTGATTGATCGAATTTTGATCATTCGAACATTACCTTACACTTTGGATGATATCAGATCAATTGTTCAAATTCGTGCAAGAACGGAAGGATTAGATTTGTCCGACGATGCCTTGAACTATATGGCTGAATCTGGTGTCAAAACATCTTTGAGGTAATAATTATCTGAATCTATCGTTTAAAATAATGAACTTGATTTTAATTTACTCATATTTGTAGATACGTTATTCAATTACTCACTCCTGCAAGTATACTTTCACGAACAAATGGACGAGAAGTTATCACATTGGAAGATCTTAAAGAGGTGGATGATTTGTTTTATGATGCCAAATCATCTGCTAAAATTCTCGCTGAGTATCAAGGTTAGTTGTATTAAATTATATATATATAAATAAATAAACATGTGTCTTACATTATTATGTTTTATACAATTTTTAGCGCGATATGTTTCATGAATAATATAATATTATCTTTAATAAAATATTCTCAAATTGAAAACCATAGATACGTGATTTAGATATGCGTTTTTTGAATTAATACTGGTCTATAGATTATATTACCAATCACAATTATACGTGAAGACCAAGAGACATATACTATACGGTTTATGAATAAATCACTACTAGAAAATATCAAAATAGCTTCATTGATTTGAAAAGAGGGTTTCAAAGATCGTATTCAGTATTTAAGAATTTGTCCTTATTATCAAAATCATTACTATCAATTGCCTATTTAGTTCGTTAGACAATATTTGCACTATATTGACTTAATAAAATTCTGAAATTAAATCTGAATACTATAAATATATTTATCAATAAATTTTAGTAATGAAAATAAAAAATTTGTATATACAAATAGCAAGCTATTGGAAAAGTAATTGTTCATCTGTTCATATAAGCAAGCATCCTAATCTTATCTTTACGATCTTTTTCATATTGTTCAGCTGTTTGTTTTGCATTCAGTCTCTTTAATCTTATCTAAATTAAACAATTGATTAAGAAAATTAATATTAAAATATTAAATAAATTTAAAGTATGGTTGCGAAATTTAAAAAAAAACTACCTTTGGTGGTTGATTGGTTTTTTTCACACCAATACCTAACCTATCATTTTTTAGTCTTGTTGGTATTGGATGTCTTCTACCTTGTTCATTTACGCCGAGTCCTTTTTCATATCTCCATCCTTGATCACGTAACATTCTAAATCCTACATTAGTCTAGAAAGAATTAATATTTTTTATTATTATTTTTAATTAATAAATTGAAAAATCAATAAAAATATATAACTTACCTCATTTAATGCCAATGGATCCGGTATAGATTGATCATTTAAGCTTTTTGATATAACAAGGTGCGCTGTGCCGTGAATATGACTTTGATATAAAATTTTTTCAACCAAAATTCCACAATCCACGCACCACAATTTCTCATCATTTTCTACTGTATTTGAATCACTAATTTCAACGTTCTTTTTCTTATCGTTCTTGTCATTGTGTTTAATTATAACGTCCTCGTCATTATATTCTAATAATCTTTCTAAGCTTTCGGAAGAACTCTTATTATTTAATAGTGAAAAACAATCCTTTAAACTTGTATTATTTGTGATACTTTTCTTGTTTATTATTCCTTGTCTCTTTAGAGTTTTTATTTTACCTTTTCGTACATTTTTTGTTGGAAGTGAAATTACACTTTGATAAAATTTTGTTATATTTTCCGCTAATTTTTTTCTGTCTTCCTCCTCTGACTGAACATTAGCTACAGTTTGCAAAGATCTTGAAGAAACAAATGAAATTGGATTTCGTAATAATGAGAATGGTACCTTTTCGGACATTCTGATTCAAAAATTACTGTACTGATGGATCCGATTATTTATAATTTTAAAGTGGATCACGTGATCTCTAAAATTTATTCAAAATTAAATTTCACTTTACAACTCGTTTTGATAAAATATTATTAAACGAGGTAATGTTCTTGATTTCTCAACTCGCCATAAAGCAATGAGATAATTTAGAAAAAATTCAAGAAGTCAGTTAGAATTTTATCTGAAGATAAGGAAGAGTAATTTGTTTCAAGGTAATTTTTATGTTTGGGAGTTTATACTGAAGCCTCTGGTAAGGAAATTCAAAATAAATATAGAGAACTTTCTCTAAAACATCATTCTGATAATATTCTAATAAAAAAATGCGTTAATCTATCTTCTCGATCGACGATCCTTGTCACGATCCCTTTCTCTTTCCTTTTCTTTATCTCTTTCTCTATCTCTATCTCTATCTCTTTCCCTTTCTTTATCTCTATCCCGATCCTTGTCTTTATCCCTTTCTTTATCTCTTTCCTTTTCTTTATCTCTCTCTCTATCTTTATCTCTTTCTCTTTCTTTTTCTTTATCCCGATCCCGATCTCGATCTCGATCTCTCTCCCTATCTCTGTCTCTCTCCCTATCCCTATCTCTATTTCTCTCCTTGTCCCTATCTCTATCTCTCTCCTTATCCCTATCTCTGTCTCTCTCCTTCTCCCTATCTCTGTCTCTCCCCTTATCCCTATCTTTGTCTCGCTCTTTTTCTTTATCCAAATCCTTCTCTTTATCCCGGTCCTTTTCTTTTATATCCCGCTCTCTATCTCGGTCACGATCTCTTTCTTTATCCTTTTCTTTGTCTCGATCTCCTTTTTCCTTTTCTTTGTCACGATCTCTTTCTTTTTCCCTTTCTTTGTCACGATCTCTTTCTTTTTCCTTTTCTTTATCCCGGTCCTTTTCTTTTGTATCTCGTTCCCTATCCCTATCACGATCTCTTTCTTTATCCTTTTCTCTATCCCGATCTTTTTCTCTTTCCTTGTCACGATCCTTTTCTTTGTTAATTTCTCGGTCACGATCTCTTTCTTTATCCTTTTCTCTATCACGATCTTTGTCTCTTTCCTTGTCGCGCTCCTTTTCTTTGTTACTTTCTCGGTCACGATCTCTTTCTTTATCCTTTTCTCTATCACGATCTTTGTCTCTTTCCTTGTCGCGCTCCTTTTCTTTGTTACTTTCTCGGTCACGATCTCTTTCTTTGTCCTTTTCTCTATCACGATCCTTCTCTCTTTCCTTGTCGCGCTCCTTTTCTTTATTAATTTCTCTGTCACGATCTCTTTCTTTCTCCTTTTCTCTATCACGATCTTTGTCTCTTTCCTTGTCTCGATCCTTTTCTTTGATAGTTTCTCTATCACGATCTTTCTCCTTGTTACTTTCCTTTTCTCGATCCTTCTCTTTATTACTCTCTTTGTCGCGATCTTTTTCTTTGTCTCTTTCTTTATCACGGTCCTTCTCTTTTATATCTTTTTCCCTATCTCGTTCTTTATCTTTATCTCTATCTTTTTCACGCTCTTTTTCTTTATCCTTATCTCTGTCTCTGTCTCTTTCCCTATCTCTATCACGAACCCTATCCCTATCCTTATTATCCCTATCTCTATCTCGATCTCGATCTCGATCCCTATCCCGATCTCGATCCCGATCTCTTTCTGTAATTCTATCTCTATCTCTATCCCTTTCTCTATCCCTATCTCCCCGATCACGTTCACGATCTCGATCTCTACCCCGATCTCGATCACGTTCTCGGTCACGCTCTCTATCACGTTCTCTATCTCGCTCTCTCTCTCTTTCCCTAATGTCTCGCTCCCTTTCGCGTTCACGATCTCTCTCTCTATCTCTTTCACGATCTCTTTCTCTATCTCTTTCACGATCTCTTTCTCTGTATCGATCGCCCACTATAAAAAAAATATTTGATTAATATATATCGAATGAATATTAAACAACAAAATCAACAAACCCAAACCTCTGTCACGATTTCTAGAACGACTTGGAGTTCTTCTTCGTCGAAAATAAAAATCTATTATACGAGAGTTTATTAATATTCACATTATTGATCATAATGAATTGACAATAAATACTTACCTCTGGATCTTGATCTACTTCTTCTTCTCCTAATTCTACTTCTACTCCTTGTTCGTGACCTAGACTTACTACGCCTGATAGATCTAGAACGGCTACGAGCAGATATAGCTTCTTTAGTAGGTGAAGTCGCATCTCGCATTTCTATATCCTGTTGTACAGATGCTGAAGGAGATTCATTATCGGGAGTAGTGCCATCAGTATTTAATCGATTTGCAATTCTTAATTGAGCCTCCCTGACACGACGCATAGTTGCTTGTACATCCGGAGCATCAGTCTTTTTTGGTGTCTTGTTGATGGCATTTTTTGAATGGTTTACCCTAAAATTGCATTTAAAAATTTGCGATTAAATAATTAAAATTTAAAGAATATACACAACATTTAAACATACTTTAAGGGACGATCTCCAAGCATAACTCCATTCATTTGCATGGCCGCTTGTGCACCTTCATAGGTGGCGAATTCCAAAAATGCAAACCGAGTTGGCTGAGCTGGATCACCTGCCATCTTTACGTACGCAACCGGACCACAAGCAGAGAAAAATTGTGTCAATTCAGGCTCAGAAATCGAAGAGTTGATGTTACCAATATAAACGGTTCTAGAAATTTCTTCAGCTTTGGCAGGATCGAATTGAGCAACGGTTGGCGAAATAGCTGGGTTAGACCTAATCGCTACAAGAGAATTAGACGGAAAAGGAGGAAGAGCTAGAGGAGTGATCATAGGTTTAGGAGGAATAGGTTGTGGAGTTTTTGAAGTTTGTGGTGGCCTAATAGGAGATATAGACGAAGGATGTATTGTGGGCAACGAAGGAGGTACAACTGGTGGTTGATACGAAGTATTACTATGTATACCGGCAGGCGCCGTTGTTGATGAAACCATCAATGTGCGATCACCTAATTCTACTCCGGTTAGGTGAAGAGCCGTTACGGCCGATGATGCCTCTTTGAATTCTATCGTGCATTCTTGTACACCATCACCATGAGGACTAAATAAAAGAGTTGCAGCTAAATGAATAAATATAAATATATTTTTTAAAAAATGAAGTATTGATTTATTACCTATTGTATAGTTTAATTGTTGTAACTTCACCCAAGAATTCGAACAATTGCTTCAATACCGGTTCAGTTACAAGGGAAGAAATGTTTGCAACCTTTATGATAAAAGTATTAAATGGATTATTAAATAATAAAATAAAATTGTCTTCCTATTTCATATGGTTATTACCTTTACAACGTTGTCAACTGACATCGTCTAGGTCGACTTTTTCAACATAAAAAAAGCTTTGGAAAACCCGATTTTTTTTGTTTAGAATTTATATCTGAGGCCGTGTTTTTAACCTAGACCCCGGGATTAGGTAACCAATCAAAAATGAAACCATCATTGATCTACATAAAATTTTTTTTTCTATTGTAATATAATTTTTAATACAAAAAATTATTGTTTATACAAGTATTTTTGTATTTTTTTATACACATTTAAGAATAAATAATGATAATCATGATATAAATAATATTGATATATTATAATAATAAATAATAAATAAAAGTAAAAACTGGATATTTTTTAAATAAAAAATAAAATTATAATGATTATTTTTGACTTTGATTTTTGATAATTTATTTAAAATTATAAAATTGAATTTATAAAATGTGGAATTAGTAATTATATATAAGATTAAAGTAAGTTGGAATTAGTAATTAGAATAAGATATAACATCAGAATAAAATATATTATTAGTATAATTTATGTATAAATATATATAAGATTTTTATTATTTATTAAAAGTTATGAAAATTAGAACATGAAATATTATAGAATAAAGATGGTAGCCTTTATGAATATGTTGCAATATATCACTGTTATAACATATGTTGCAACATAGTTGCAACATTTGAAAAAATTTATTAATTTGTTGCAATATGTATTA